TATGGATAAATTTGGTAATGCTATTCTAAAATTCAAAATTGACCTGGTTGCTGTACTTGCCTAGTTAAAGTATTTTTAATAATACAAACTTATAATAAACTTGCTACTGCCTCTAGCACTTCTTATTAAATTCCTTTCCTTTTTCTGTTTTACTCTTCTTCAGCGTCACTCTTTTGACCACGTTTTTCATCTTTCATCATGAGGCCCATTTATTCCCTTCTTTATAAAAGCGGAAAAGGGTTCTCATCAATTAGTTCCATTACTGACGCTCAGAAGTAAACCAGCACCTTATTTTATTCGATTAAGATTCAAAACAGGAATTCTCATGCTGAATATGGGAGGCCCAGCAGACACCTCTGACGTTCATAATTTTCTCCTCAGACTTTTCTCTGATGAAGACATCATAAAATTGCCTTTTCAGAGGTTTGAATTATTTTTATATTGTAAGTATACTTTCCCGAATCATAGCCTCTCGCAGGGCACCCAAAGTTGAGGCACAATATTCACTTATTGGAGGGGGCTCACCCATCCATCATTGGACAGCAACACAAGGAAAGGCAATGGTGGACATCTTAGATCAAATTTCACCAGGATCTGGTACGTTAACTTTTTTTACTTTAATCACAGCACCACACAAATTTTATGTTGGCTTTCGTTACGCCCATCCCCTCGTCGAAGAAGCTATTAATCAAATTGAAAGGTAATCTGTATTTGTGCAAATTATTTTTGAGTGATGGAATTGAGCGAGCCGTTGCTTTTAGTCAGTATCCGCAATACAGTTGTGTAACTTCTGGAAGTAGCTACAATGCAATTGCTAAGCACTACAATGATCCTAGGAAGTATGGTTTGGCAGGCATTGACAACATTCCTGCACCTGGAAGAAAGCCAGGACCGCTTTGGTCCTTTTTAGACAGATGGCCGACTAACACGCACTTAGTTGATGCTATTGTGATGCATTTAAAATCCGAAGTCGATCAGCTCGAGAAAACACACCATACACGAGATGCCGTTGTCCTGTTTAGCGCTCATTCCATTCCGATGGAGGTCGCTAAAAGAGGTGATCCCTATCCACAGGTGAATTTCTGCTCGTCTGAGTCAGATATATGTTTTCGAATTGCCCATTTTTCTTTCTTAATCAGTGTGTGTATTTTAATTCGCATCTTTGTGCCTACCCTTACGTTACTTAATTTCCTTCACTCGATTAGACACCGATTTTATCTT